CCCAAATCCAGTCCTTGAAACAGCTGTGTGACCTGCTCTGGGTCTGATGGGAGGCAGTTCCTCATTGCTGAGGGGTTGCATGGAGACAGGCAGCTCACGGGGAGCTCTCCACAGCTTTGAAACACAGCCCGTTCTTGAGGACATCAATGCCCAAAGGTCTTCCAGGCACTTTCAGAGAAGGATCCCAAACACGTCCATCCCAAAGCCCGAACAAGCAGTCTTGACTACTTATTACTAGGATCAAACTAGAAAGGAATCCTTGCCTTTAACCTGTGATTAGCTGGCTTTATTCTGCATTTCCCACTACTGAGTGTGACCACAGCCCCTGCCTGGCACTGCTGACACTGGGGTTTCCGCTGATGCTGTAGTTGGGATGTGTTCGCTTCACCGAGGAAATGAAACATTCCTTCTACAAGCCCGAACACGCCAACGTGGTAAAATGCAAGAGAACTTGTTCAGAAGAGGATTTTAATGCATTAGTTAACTTCTAAAACACTGTGTGCTTTCAGTGTGACTTAGCACAAATAAAACTTAAAGATAAAATACATAAATAACCAAAGCACAAGCTACAACCGTCTGCCCATGGGTATTTTGATACACAAATGATGCCTCCAGCACTGATCTTTAGGTGGAGGGTACAGATGCATTCACTGTGCAAGCCCTCTTCAAGCTGTGTGACCAATGTTAGGAGACAACGCTGGGCTGATCTTCCCCCCTGCAGGATGGAGAAGTCGCAGAACGAGGCATTGCAGGGGCCACCACAGCCCACACAGAACAAGGATGCTCAGACCCAGCCAGGTGTGAGCCTCCTGTTTGCTTCAGTAAAGGAAATATTTCAGCATTTTTCTCTATATGAAGCTTGGCTGTGGTCTCTTTCCTCATTAAAAGCACACCGGAGCATGAACCCCTCCTAGCAAGTTTTACACATTAAGCAAAGCGAGTAAACAAAACCCAATAAGCATAAGATTCATAAGATAATCTTCTGTTCTGGGCTAAAAAAAGACCACTAATCCAAAACCAGACAAAAATGGAAATATAACCTTTCAGGGAATAAATTAATCAAGAGATATTTTATGCATGAGGTCTTTCTGAGGGAAGCATTTCAGTAACAAGGTAGAAAGAAAAGCAGGGATCACAGGATTGCAAAAACAGGGCCCATTCTTAGCTATTATAAAATAAAAACAAAGCACCCCCGGCAACTTTTCCCCCAGAACACACAGGCGGATCGCCCAAAGAAAAGACCATACATTTTTTCAGCTGCTTCTCAAGAAGAATGCTTTAAAGGAATTTGGGGTATTTATTTACACAAAGCGCAAGCTCAGAAAGGAGTGGGCACAGTTGGTGCCTCTGTGCAAGCCTACTGCTAAAAATAGCCCTTGATTAACAGCAGGTCAATGATTAAGAGAAACGGGTTCTGACGGTCAGTGCTGAATCATCGTGGGGAGTTAATGAAACAAACTTGAATTTCATTCATTGATCAAGGAAGGTTCTGTCACCCTGGAGAGCAGAGTAGAATCAATTCTGGTATTGATGGATGGATAAATTCAAGTCTCCTTTTTGTAGCACCTCTGTTTTGCCTTCCCCTTGCACACCCACGCCGGACAAAACCATCCCGTTACGTTGCACAGCGCAGCCCCAAGGCACCGTCACCGGAACGAGGTGAACACACAGCAAAGGAATGGGAATTGGTAGCATTTTTAATGTAATTCAATGACATTGCGCCAGTGCCCGTCAGGGGAAGGGCACAGCCACCGGCTAACACGAAAAACAGCGCCAAAATGTGCCTGACATGAAAGAGAGGGGAACCTGGTGGCAAAAGCACAGGCAGTGCACCAAGCTGTTGTTCTGTAACTCCGTCGATTGATGTATGCACTTGTTTTATAAAGTCTGAAAATGACCTTGCTGTGGAAATGGGTCTCTGGAGACTCCTGCAAACAAGTCGTTATTTATCTTTATTACAACAAAAACGTGACAGAGCTCAATACTGCAACCCAAACTGGACACTGCCTCCCCCAACAGTCCAAGCGAGCGTCAAACTCCTATTCAAACTTCACTTGAGGTGAATCCAAATGGAACTGTGCTGTGATGGGCACCCAAAACCACCACAAAAACCCTGCAGTCACTCCTTCAGCCCACCAGATCCCAGGGTTTTTCCTGTTGAAATCCCCAACTTGTTTAGCACCCTTTTTCCAGTATTTTGTTTATGGAAAACCATAAACTCCCTTGCCTGTTCACTCCGTTGCACAAGCACGCAATACCATTAGAAAACTTGGATATCAAACCTTGGCTGCTATGGAACACAGGTAAAAAACCACATGTGAATGGCACTGCATTGTTTTTATTTTAAGTGTCTTTACACAATGAAAGATGTTGGAATGCAAGTTGTTACACGTCTTACACAACAACATTGACAACATTACCTGCTTGATTTGCCTTAAAAAACGGTATCTGAAGGTTCTCCACTTATTCCTACTTCACAGCAACTTCTACGATGGGGTAGAAATTAAACAATTAACAAAATATAAACACCACAGAAAATCCAAAATGGACTTCTGGAATTTTAAAAATACACAATCCTGATGGACACCATTGGTTTATTTTAATAACGTGGAACAGTGAGACAGAGAAGTCAGACTTGGAGTGATTTTAATACCTGAAGAGATACATAAATATCATACCTGTGGAGGCAAATGAACCAACCCCATTTCCTACCTTTTTAATCTATACCACTCCTGCTCTGGAACAAGGACCTGCCTGCAGGATCCCATTTTGCAACTTGAAGCTGGTGGCAGGAAGGGATCACGAGCTGGCACAACATGGAGTTGAAAACTACAATGCCCATGCAAATTCATCGCCGTTTTTCTCTCTCTGCCATCGATCAAGTGGAAACACATTTGAAAATTCAGTAACACGTCATGTAGGATTGAAGCACACTGAAATGAATTTGAAAAAGGCCAATTTCTGAATGATTTCTATGTGTCTATGAACATCAGCAGCCTGGTTTGTTCACAAATAATTTTGTATTTTTTTTAAATAGAAAAAAGAAGAATCTGTCTAGACTAAAAAAGGTTGGTTATAAAATAGCATAAAAGCATAGGAGCGTGTGTCATTACACCGAGGCATATTTTCCTCCTACTAAAACACGTAACACAAGATCACAAAATTAAAGACCTGTATTTTAAAAGATGCATCCTGGTCTCAAAAGTAGCAGATTCTACTTAAGTCTTAATGAAAAAACAGCAAACAAGGCTGAAACTGCATAAAAACTGGCTAAGCCAGGCAACTGATTGTCTTCAAAAAATATGAAACAGACTGGAGAAGTTTAGGAGCACAAGTTAAAAATTAACCCTAGGTGTTTTATCTCCTAACACAGCTTAGTCATAACGTAACAGTCACTGAATTCTTTATAAACGGAGGCCATCTCTAGGACTGCAGAGGAACAAACATTACCGTATTTTCAGAGGATCAGAGACAACACATTCAATAACTGATTCCATCTTTCTCTCGACCTGTTGTAATTCACTCCTGACCAGGGGTCAGTGCAAACCATCGGACCTGTGGGTACCGCCACGGACAGCAGCAGCAGCAGCAGCAGCAGCGCTGGCCACAGACTCGGAGTCTCTTCTCAGTGGTCTGTGGTTCTTCCTCCTGGATTCTTCATGTAGTTCGCAAAACTACTTGAATTTATTTCCATACATGTATTTGTGCCTCATGTCAAACTAAAAACACGTACTTGGCATTTCTGAGAAGAGCAAAGATTAATCTTCACCGTAGCTTATGAGCTGGGAAGGAGTTTTAGCATAAAGAATACGTTTCACTTGCATTTAACACTATGTTAACTGGAAGGCTGTTGTACCAGTACAGATCAGCTTTTAATTGCTACACAATGAACTTTCTTGAATCCAACGGTGACAGGAAGGTATTATTTCAGCACTTGGTACATCACACTGTACAGTATAAAGAAAAGCATAACATCTTTAAAATAAAAAATCCAGAACACAACCAGACTTCCTATTTTTCACTATTTCAAGTCAGGTGGATTTGCTACACTTGGAGGACTAGTCCCTAAAATTAAAGTGCTTTTCAGAGCATTGGCATCCAAAATCTTGAACATGAGAGACAACTACAAGTAAAATCTGTTGTCGCTATACGTAACATATAGCAGCAGTACAGACATCAACACATGTACTCATTAAGTGTCTGATTTTTGATACTACCGTGAGCATCACACAATTTAACAGTGCATAGTGCCCCCTACCTCCAGCGCACAATCGAATGCTTTAGACTCATTCAGAATTGTTGCAGGCGGGTCTGGGCGCCTTGTCTGCATGATCTTCTGCTTGGGATTCTTTATTTCATCTTCCTCTTCGGTCTCACTTTCACAGACATGGACAACTACACTCGGAGTCGATTCTGTTCCTGCATGAAGCTCATACTTTTCCCCTGAAGAGCAGCAAACAAAAATCAAACTAAGAACATCCCCAAGGAAAAGCATTACACCACTTTATCTCAAAAGCTCCTTAATATCTACAGCAACACAACCGCATATTCATTTATTCCCATGTCATCTTTAATTTGCTCAACTACCACACCTCAGAAGACAAGCAGCGTACATATTTTTAAGTAACATCATTTACGCTGTACATTTATATGACATCTGTAAATGAAAAGCCACAAAAGCATTTGAAAACATTAAGTGTCCCAATTCCCTGCTTTTCACAGAAAGCAAACAGTGTTTCCTAGGAAGACTCACAGAGAAGTTTGACAATTAAACACAAAAATACGTATCAATGTAAATAGATGTGATGGAGCTCATACCACAGAATCCAGTTCTGTGCTACACTTCTGATATATTAACAAATCCAGTAAAAAGTGATGGGTCATTTTATTCAAGTAAGAAACATCACATAAGAGAGACTCAGTTTCTTCTCGCAGAAAGGTAAGCAGATAAATTCCCTCGATAACTACTTCTGAAGCTAACACAACAAAAGCAGGTAACTATCCCTACCTGGTCCCAACTTGGAGACAGCACAGAGCAAGTCATAGTTTATCAGGGGAGTTGCATCTTCACTCTGTTTCCATCCAACTGGGGGAGACGCAGGCGGTGATATCAGGAACTGTTTAACAGGCTGTGGAGGAAGGAGGTAGGACTTGTCCCCTATTTCACTGGATACCTGCGCCTGCAGACAAAAGCCAGGAGATACAGAAGAAGATAACAACTACTAATTCTCCTTTTATTTAGTCTACTTCCACAATGATACATGCCCATCCTCTGTATTAGCAATGCTTAATTCAGCCTAGCTTTAAAATGAAAAGCAGTACAGCTTTTGTCAGTTCTTGGTATGACACCTTGGAGAAATGCTGCGGGTAACAAACTGTCCTACCTAAGTGTTGGCAGCAAGGCTGTACATGACACATGCGAGCTGCTAATCCAACACGAATACGCCTGTAAACGCCTGTGAAGCACCTATTATAAAGAGATCTTTGGACCTGCTTATTTTCTTTCAGCACATTTCTGTTTATGCAAAGGGCAAGGTGGTTTCTGTGACTACACAGCGACTGTACCTTACCAATTACAACTCCATAAGCTCAGGCTGAAAAGCAACACTGTCCCCTGAATGAATTTCTCAGTAAGTAAAAGTAATAGATCTCAGTGTAGAAGGATGAGGTTGAAGGAAACTCATGGGCAAACGTGAAACATAAAAGAAACAAGGACATATTCCCATCATCTCTGTGTTCCTTAATACCTGTGCAAAGTACAGCTTCAGCTTTTTTCCATTGAAGTCAGTCTCGTGCAGTTCTATCCGTGCTCTTGCTGCTGCCTCTGGATTGCCGAAGTTTATCCTCACTCTTCTAAAACTTTTAAACAACTGGAATGTAACTTGGTTATCGTAGACTGTGAAAAGTGCTTCAAATCTTTCCTAGAGATGAAGTACAAAGATTCTCCAAACACAAAATGAACATTTTCACTCAATGAAAACACATTTTCCTTTCACATTCCTCTCCTAAATCCCAATAATTTCCTTAATCACCTCTAAACCTGCACATCTCAAACTTCCCTCAGTTACCCCAACTTGTCAATCTGTATTCAGATCACTATTCAGAGTAGCACTGCTTTGTCTCCCTACTTAAACCTGAATTCCAAGCCTGTAAAACTCTTCAGACACAAACTGCCACCCAGCGACTGTTCATCAAAAATGCAACAAAAATGCTGGTGCTTGCGCGTGACTTTGACCCGAGCACCTCCAAAACAAACGCACATCAGTTCATTTTTATGTTAGATAAACTAAAGTACTGAGTGCTGAAGGAAAATGTCAGAACTCTCAGGACGAATTCATAAGACTACTCTGGAAGAGACAAAGATCTATTATTATGAAACACCACTTGTTCACAAAAATAGTTCCAAAAAAATCATGTTTTATTGAATATGGAATATTATCCTCAAGTTCTTTAAAAATTAATAACTGCATCGTTACAGGATGCAATCTGTTTTAATTTCCTAGTGCTGTGATCTCCAAGAGATGATTTATGATTTACATACTCGCATGTATTGCCTGTTTTGGGTTTTTTTTTTCCAGTAAAAACAACCCTGACATACAAGGCTAGAAATTCTCCCTTTTTCTGACCTACACAGGTGAGCAACAACTCTTGCTCTTTAAAGAAAAGCTTTTAATGCCAGGCATGTAAATAATGGCTAATGAACTGCATCTCATTCTCGCTACAAAACATGGAAAAGAAAAAATAAAGCATCTGAAAATAAAGCCACTAAAGACTCTGCAGCCTTGTCTGGTCCTTTTCTTTCGTACCCATAGGAAAGCAATTACAACAAACTGCACCAGCACCAGCTCTCCTTATGTAACAGCCTCCTCCCTGCCCAAGCGGGGGTTTGTAAGCTGCTTTGCAAACTGTTTATGTGACACCATGTGCGCCTTCCCAACCAACCACCGCTCCTTTTATTTTGAATGTACTATGCCCATCCGTCAGTAGCACCGGCGTAGAAATGCAGCTCACGGTAAATATTTGAAAGATTGACTTAAATATCAGTACACAGTTCAGCAACTCAGAGGCACAGAGCGGCATTTCCTGTCTGACACCAACCCTTGCCCTCAGAGCTTGAAAACTTCTCAGCAAAACTGGAGGTTTTGTAAGGACTTTTGTAAACTGAAACTGAAGAAGCCGCAGACCAAAGCTTTCCGATCAGCCCCTGCTATTTTCCCTTCCTCGTGTAGTGCACGCAATTATTCCTGATGTTCTTGGAAGGAAAGGGAAAGTAAAGATTTGACTGAACACAAATGTTAACAGGCCAGTAATTTAGTTTATTATAAGGCCTTTACAAGACACATTCAAGGTGTTCAAGTCAGAACACACATCCTGCAAATTTATAGTGCTCCTTTAACAGAATCCTTGCTTTGAAATAAAACATTTAAATTTGCTTTCAGATTTTATTTAAATCTGCCCTTGGATTTGGTACCTCAGATAAAGAGGAAAAGAGAAAATACCAGAAAGGCTTTTCAGGGGAGAAGCACTAAATATCTATTAACAATTTCAAATGCCACAAAAGTGTAGTATTATCTGCTCTTTGGTAACTCTGCTTATTCTGATCTGAGCTTACCCAGTAAATACTTTGGGTTTTTTCCCTCCCAGTTATAATATGCAGTAATACACTGCAAATCCAGACAAAAATGTTCAACAGCTGTATCTGTACTTACAATACTACACCCCAAATATGTCTCTCTCCACCTTACCTTTTCTTCCTGCACCTCAAACACAGCTTCAGGAACACTGCAAGCAAAGAGTGAGGTAGGCAAGTCACTTAAATCCATCATCTCTTCCAAATCATCTTCATTTTCTCCAAAAATCATCTGTTCTTCCTCCTCCTGGTCACTGCTGTAGAGGTCTGACTGGCTGTCACTCCAGGACTTCATCGTGTCTCTGAGCATCGTTCACCCAAAGCAACTCTTCCTTGTGGTCCAGTTTCTAGCAGGGGTCTGCCATTCCAAAAATACAAAAACCAAAACAGAATGTGAAGATATCACATCTTCTTGCTTTGACTGTTCTTTAGGGCAAATAATCTTAGAAAAAAATAACAAATCAACATGAAACTCATTCTCTCATCCACAAAACAGAAGCACTGTATCCCATCGCTGTAAACGGGATGGAAACACTGCTGCTGAGTCAATGAAAAGGAAGATAAATGAAATGTCTCTTCCTTTTATTCTGACATAAATCAAGAACTACAGTACTCTTCTAGAAGCTTTTCTCCATGAGACACTTTTCAGTTAACAGCAATTCCTTATTTAATAGCTTAAAAGCACTTCCCATGTAATCACAGTAGTCTTCTGATATTTGAAGAAATATTTTTATTTCATCAATGGGAACACACATATACAGCAAAGTTAAATTATCTGTGCAAAGCCTCTCCACACCAGCAGCAAATACGGGAGCAAAACGCGAGATGTCCTAACATGAGGATGTTCCTCAGCATCACAGACAGAAGGATGTAAACACAAGAAAACATGTCGCTGGTGGAAACTTAGGGTTTTTTTGTGCTTGCTGATTCATGCAAAAAGGAAAGAGAAAAGGAAAAGAAAATTCGCCAACACAGTAAAAACAAAAGGCACCATCTGGCTTGGCAGCACAGACTCCAAGGGAGCTCTGTGCTCATCAATCCAACATGCAACAGGACACAGACACCTACAGTCACACCAAGCTATGAGCAGACAGAACAGAGAGCAACGTGCCAGCCTTATCCTCATTTTGGTCCTACCTCCCCACGCATCCCCATCAGAGAGGGGCATGGATCTCAGTAAGTAACAGCTAACACACACGACTGCTCCAAAAACCTGGTTTTCTGACAAATCAAAGAACGAGGGGACTCACAAACAAGGCAAGAGAGCAGAACTGGAGAGAAAAAGGAGTTGGGGAATGCTGGCATGTAAATTCAGAGACTTCATGGTGAACAGGATGGGAAGTAAGGTACCATACAGATCAACATTCAGTTCGGTCAAGTTGGCCAAATGATGAAGTTTAAGAAGTTCAGGTTGTCTGAGCTTCACACACTACAAACTGAAGGCAAAGCAGCAGACTGGAGGGAGGCAAAAGCACCAAGAAAACAACATTACAGAGTACTGTGTGCTGGGACTTACACTGTGCCTGCGGTAGTGCTCCTCTCTTCATTCTGTTAGGGCTGTGGAATCAGACAGCACAATTAAAACAAGAAATGTAATCCATCGACTACCAACTGAATCCACTGCTCCTCCTTTAAAGTTGCTGTCATCTATTGTGTCATTTAAGGAGCGGCATTCTGCAAATTACTAACACCAAAAACTGCAGAGACCAGAGAGCTGTTCCTCCATTGGGTATGGCAGCACAGAGGACAGCACTTCGGGAACATATGAGCAAAGAGATGGACAAAATGAAAGCAGATCTGGGTTTTATTCATACAAATCAGTCACCTGAACTCTACATTTCTGGCTAATATTCTGTACAATGAGATGCTGGATAGGCTCGCTGAATAGTAACAATCTTTTACACATCAATGAAAGGCAAATATCTGCTTGGAAGTAAAAGAAAACTGATAGTACTAAAAGAGCAATACAAGACACTTTCTAAAACAGCAACTTGAAGACATAAAAAAAAGCACTGGGGGGGGGCAGGGGGGGTGGTTTCCTTCTTTTGCCAAATTTGGTTAAAGTAATTCAGAGAATTAAAATTAAGGTCAAAGCTTCAGCACGAGGAGGTTCTAAAACTCCGAAACTGTTATTTTGTATTTTGACAAATGACATCCGTGTGATTTCCATGTCTTTTTGGTATAACAGAATAGAGCAATTTTGTAACTGAAAAGGTGACAACACACAAAATACAGAGCAGTAAAAGGCAAGAATGATAGCTAGGTAAAACAACACAATTAAGGAATGGTCTTTGCCAAGTCAACTAAGAAATTCGAGAGGGATCAATAACAAACAACTGAAATGTTTGCAAACAAATGCCAGGAGCTCAGGTATCATAGAATAACCACACACTGTAAGAGAAGAAGGAAGGAAAAGAGAAAGGGAAAAAAGCCAACAAAAACCCCACAAGATTTAGCTTCTTTTACAAATTAATTTATATCACATTAAATGATTTAAGTAACTCACGAAGCAGACAGACATAAAGCGATGGCTGCAAGGTCACTGTGATTTTCACCGTGCACGAACTGGCCAACAGACATAAGCAAAAGCGTCCACTTAGCATCCTAATGTTAAGAGAAATTAAACCTGAAGTCCCTGCACCTTTAGTCTTCTGTGCTCTGAATTTCATAAAATTTATAGTTATTTATTACAATTGGCTAATTCTTACTGCAATAAACAATTTAGATCACAAGCACATTCATTGTGTAGACACTTGTTAGCAAGCTTTCTGATCACTCGGTCCCTCTTAGATTTTAAACGGCCTCACAGAGCACGACTAAAAGGATCCCAAGAACTAAAGCCACCCAGATAAGACCCTTTCCTAAGTCCTTTGTTCTTCTAAGAATTAATACCTGCTTATCACTTAGGTACTAGATGACAGGTACCTCTGAAACACTTAAAAGCAAACTTTTCAGCTTCATACAAAGCTTAAGGTCCTTTGAAATTTAAGCAAGCTGTGGAAACACTGAGAGCTTTATTTCTACATCAGAGCAGCAGCACAGACAACCGGTGTCTGTACCTTTGTATCACCTGGACCCGCTCTTCAGGCTCTGCTGAAATACAAGCCACTCATTTACATCATCGCATCTTATTGCCTCAGAGAGCAATAACCAGACTGCTTGCCCAAAAAAATCCGCTAAATACAAGGGCTAGAAACGGCACCGCAATTTCTCCATAAAGAGTCAAATCTGCTCGGAGGAGCTGATCAACTCAGGCTCAGCCCTGCAAACCCGCAGAGGACCGGTCTGCCCAGGGAAGCTGCCCCGGGGATCAGCACCCAAGCTCGGAGTTAACGCGGGGTGCGACAGTTACGAGGGGGATAGCAGAAAACCCCTCTAGGATTATTATTATTTAGGAAAAAAAAAAAGCTTAAGCCCTCTATACCTCCCCTAACGAGCAACCGTTAAAGGAGAAAACA